AAAAGTGCAAGTACCGCAAACAGACATATTGCCACAGCCTTTTCTATTTCTTTTAACCAGACCGATTATTCGCTTGTATGTGTTACCTTTTTTACACATTGTACAAACTTCTGTAAATAAACTGCCATCTTGTCTCCATATTTGAAAATATGTAAATAAAAAGTCCTGGATTGGTGAAATATCTCGAAAGCTAAAAATTCTGAAAGAAATGTTTTCTACAAAAGTTGTAGGGTTTAAATGATCTACTATATTCACTGATCTGGTCAATTTGATCTTGGGTGGCGTTGTCAAGATCAAATCACATCGATTTTCTTAAATTAATGACACCCCATTTTTAATCTCAGAATCTAATTATAACGATGTCAAGTGCTTTTCAAACCACTGTAATAAAGTTATTTTTCATAAAGTACTTTTCGAGTTATAAAGTTTGAAAGTTACAATACTGCCGGCATTAGCAAGGTGTCCGATCGATGACTAAAACCTCTTAAATATTGTTCAGGATCATGCTCTGGATAACATTCATTAATATCGAGATTATTCACGGAAAAAAAAATTAATTGAGTGGTACAGCAAACCTATAATTTACTATGCGAATTCAACATCGACAGCTAAAATTTTAACAAATCGCTAATGTTATTCAGCTGTCAACTTTGCTATTTTAACATAAAAAATTGATTGTCTGTATATTATGACTGTAGATTTGCTGAATCAGTGAAGTTTTCAGCTGCAGCAGTGAAGTTTTTTTTCGTGTTGGAGATTGTTTCTCTTATTGTCATTTTTAAATAAAAATGAATTTTTAATGCAAAAATGAAAATAAAATCAAGTAAAAAAACAATCTTCAATAATTCTGATCTTAATAAATGTTATCTAGGATGATCCTAAACAATTCTATTCAAAAGATTTTAGCTATCGGTCGGAACATAATGTTATCGGTCGGTTGCATAATGTTAATGCCGGTGATATTGTAACTTTCAAGTCTTACAACTCAGAAAGTACTTAATGAAAAATAACTTTATTATAGTATTTTGAAAAGCTCTTGACACCAATAACTATTAGATTCTGGAATTAAAAATTGAGTGTGCTGTTTAAAAAAATCGACATGATCTTGATCTTTGATAAGCTTACCAGATCAGTGAATAGATCGTTTAAAACCCTACAACTTTTAAGAAATATTTCTTTCAGAAATGCTTAGTTTTCGAGATATTTCACCGATCCAGGACTTTTTATTCATTCTGTATATTTGATACAAGAATTTTTAATTTTAGTTAGGTATCATGTTTTAAGAAAATATTTATTTACTGTAATTAAATAAAATATTTATTAAAATTTATGGTAGTAAATTTCTTTCAATATACACGTGCATTTTTTTAGCTGGAAAAGGGATCATTTTTTTCTTATAATTTTTAATAGTATGATGTAATTTAACCTGAAATATAATTTTGCCATCTGTTATTATTGCTATTATATATATGTGTATAAGTTCAATAATTTTCAAAAAAGGATTCTGAAGATAGAATGAATAGATTTGATATGTTTCCCGATATGTTCTTCCTCTTGTATTCAGCACATTGCCACTTTGAACGGCACATGCCGCAGTAACCGCATCGCGACATCAAAACAGACAATTCGCAATGCTGCAGTGTCAGCAATTCTTACCGCGAACTCCCTCTCTCTCTCTCTCTCTCTCTCTCTCTCTCTCTTTCTCTCTCTCTCTCTCTCTCTCTCTCTTCGGATGACAGTGCAAAGTGCAATTCTATCTTCAATATAACCATGGGAATGCTTGAAATTGGAACTAGATCGTACTGTTGTATATCGTATGATATACATTAAGCTAAATCACATACGGAAATCACATACGAGCGTAGAAGCAAAGCACAATATTCCCTAATTTTGCCAATATTGAATTAGCAAGATGTAGTTTACCATAAATGAATAATGGTACGTGTTAAAAACAGTCATATAGAAATTTTATCGTAATGTATAGGTTTTAAACAATTGTCTTAAATTGCACTAAATAATACAACTTGCGGCAAATATTTCATTGACAAACGTTTATGCTTTTATCAATTTACATGTAATGCCCAGTATGCAATCAATGCAATCCATTCAAACCCATTTGTAATTATTATTTTTAATTAAGGGTGCTGTATTTATAAGATAATTAAGAAAAAACTTTGAATTAAGAAAAAACAAATTTTAAATAATTCACACAAAATAAAATATAGAAATCACTTAAACATAAATTTTGAAAAATAAATAGGAACTTTGCATTGACTTGCAAAAATTTTGTGCAGAGATATGATTAAAACATTCAACAAAATTTGTCAAACGGTTACGTAGTGAAAGAATTAATTATTTCATTAAACATTTTGAATGCATCTATAATTATAATGACAAAAATTTCATATATTTCTCTCACAATACAAAGTAATGAATCTAGTCAAAGTTAATTTAAAACAAACTTAAAAAATAAACAAATTAAAAAACAAGAAACTTCAAAAGAAATGTATGCTATGTATAGAAGAAATAGAGTAAAAACAACATAGTAGAAAATATGCAGATATGAATGTTAGATATATATA